ATTAGGCTTAGATTAAATAATTTTTAAACGTGAGTTTATTTTTTGGTAAAGATATGCTAAACTGGAATTAATATGTCTGAGTGTATTTGGTTCAGTTTTGAAGAGGGATGGAGCCACGAGGCGGTGAGATATTTATGATTATATATGTTTTTATCCCAACTGGGAAAATATTTAAGTGAGTGTTTCCTTTAGAATGATATGATGCCTTTGCTGAAAAGATAAGAAGTCGGGGTATGAAATGAACGATCTGGAGTGTTGGTGTGTATTTGATTTGTTCAAGTTCAAGATAGGAATATTTCACTTTAAACCTGATAAGATTCCTAACTTTCGAATCGATATCCTGTTATTTAGCTGTGTGTGATATATTTTATCTGAGTTCTGATTAACACCTCAGTATTTATTTTAACACTTTCTGTTACCTTCCGTTATCTCCTGGGCAACCAACTGACTACTTCCTGTTGACTCTGACAGAGGCATTCTGATTAACACATCAGAGTTATTTAAACACTTTCTGTTACCTTCCGCTTTCCTGCTGATTAACCACTTCAGAACGTTATGTTAACTCATGACAGAGGGAGTCATGTTAACACCTCAGAATTAATCCACATTTGCTGGTATCAATAACTGGGAATAGTAATAAAAACATTAACCAAGTGCTGTTAAGACCAGATACTAATTCGAGATAGATGAGAGATCGAGATAGAGGAGTAGTTTGAGGGTCAACTGCCTCAGGGTGTGCTTCTACCTTTACTAGATGATATACAATGTAGAACATGGACTTATCGAGAGATCATCTGGACATTGGTGTAGGGCTGGGACGGGTACTCGGGTACTCGAATCCGGGTCGGGTACAACTGGAATCGAGTACTATTTCTAGGAATCGAGTACCCGGAAAAGGAGAGAACTCTGTAATGGCAAGGGCAGACAATAACTTGTCTTTTTCATTATTGATGTAACACACATTTGCATCCTTGGTATTGTCCGATTAATGGAGGTCATTATTAACGACTGTTTATATCTGAGCATGAGCAGTGAGGAGTCAAGTTACAGTAACAGAGGTAACGAAAAGTCCTGTGTTTTAACGAGGAATGCATGTAATGGTGTTACTCTCTATATTTGTTAAATAGACGTAAATTAAATAGCCTAAGTTCAGTTTCAGTGTCTTATTGCCATCCTTTTAAGGTTTCAATAATAATCTCTGTCAACTCGTGATTGAATATTCAGAAAGTTGACAGAAGCGCTGTATTCCTTACATTTCCGGGTACTCGATTCCGATTCGGGTAAGTACATGCGGGTACTCGATTCCATTTTTTCGTACCCGTCCCAGCCCTACATAGGTGTCACTGTGTCATTGAAGCATATTGAACAATTGAAGCCATTGTGTTCAGCAACGTGAATAGATGGAAATGTTCTGGCGCAAATATTAGGCAAAGCAATATTCGCTCACTCCGGGAACTGGTATGATTCTTCGCTTCCCGTCAGGCTACGCCCGATGTGAGAAGCATTGAACATGTTAGAGCATCAAACTGAAGCTGGGATAATTTTATGCTGCTGAATGTTTTATTTAATCAGCATTGTTTCCTCGACAGGTACGTGACAGTTACCTGTAGAAATACGGCCATGTTAACGTTATGTGGACGAAAAAACATTGCTGGTTGTAGGGAAATGGAAGCGAGAAAATACAGTTTTAAACAAACAGTTTTGAAACTTGGATCGCTCATATAACGCAAGTTTACCCAAGTGGTTTCACCCATCAAGGTTGTAATCAGCGGAACTAAGAGGACAGACTCAAGATTTCGCTTGTTCAGCATTCTGTGAACAAGAACACCTCATCATCTTGCTGACGTCACAGACCCTTGTATGTCTAAAACTAATAAGACCCCCTTGATGAAACGGGGGGTCCCTTCCCGTTGTGTCTGCAAAAAAACACATAATCCGGCAACCATAACCAACGCGTTCAAGTGTTTGCAAACCACTCCACCAGAATATTTCACAAGAACCCACACAAGTGTGCCAAACTTCAAAACAGTACTAAAACAGAGGTCGCATATTTCTTGTCACTGACTGTCCATCAAATACAAGTATACCTATAACACGTCAATTTCCGCTTTGATCTGTACGCTACATCGGCTGAGACACGACCAGGCCAGGGGTACTCACAGACCAGTGCTGATTACAATCAACCTTCCTCACACCTGGGAACACCTGGGAAGAGGCGGCCTTTGATGTTGGTTGTGTTATGACCCAGCCACGACTCAGTGTGTTTATCCCAGTACAGTTTCTGAGTTCATAGCACGATAAGTCATAGGTAGGCTGTCGCTGCCTTCGGTGCGGGAAGCTCACTATAAACGCTTTGTGTCCTCCCGTCAGGACGAGTTGTGGTTGAACTCTCTCTGATTTGGTTACATAAGTTATATAAAGTTAGATAACGTTTCTTTTTCCATATGTATGTTGCTGTAATCATATACTATTTCTCTTTGTTGTTTTTAACTAATTATGCAGTATAAAATGCTTGGGGTTATTTAAAGGGCATCAATTCGATGTGCCGTGTTGCGTGCAGTGGTCGCGCCAGTAGCTGAACATGCCCTGATTAGCATCCTTGGCCTGTGAGCGTTCAACATTTCACCAAACCTGTAAATATCTGCAACCTACCTAACGCCTGTTTCCTCCCACACTGAAATGACACGTTGTGATAGAACCAACATGTCACTCATTCAATCACTTACTCACTCACTCTCACACTCACTCTCATAGTCACTCACACTCACACTCACTCACTCAAACACTCACACTCACTCACTCAAACACTCACTCTCACTCTCACACTCACTCTCATACTCACTCACACTCACTCACTCAAACACTCACTCACTCACACTCACTCACTCAAACACTCACTCACACTCACTCAAACTAACATTCACTCACACTCACTCACTCACTCAAACACTCACTCACTCACACTCACTCAAACACTCACTCACTCAAACATTCACTCACTCACACTCACTCACTCAAACACTCACTCACTCACACTCACACTCACTCAAACACTCACTCACTCACTCACTCTCACTCACTCAAACACTCACTCACACTCACACTCACTCACTCACATTCACTCACACACTCACTCACTCAAACACTCACTCACTCACTCACACTCACTCAAACACTCACTCACTCAAACACTCACTCAAACACTCTCACACTCACTCACTCAAACACTCACTCACTCACTCAAACTCACACTCACATTCACTCACACTCACTCACTCACTCGAACACTCACTCACTCACTCACACTCACTCAAACACTCACTCACTCAAACACTCACTCACTCACACTCACTCACCTTGAGTGTAGTTAACCTGTGGTCAATAACGTGAGCACCATCAGTAATAGATATCTCTCTGGACAGCTGCACGTTACGGCAACCTGTCGGGGCACTATGGGAATAAGACAGGAACCTCACAACCCCTGTCCATAAGATTTACTTTGATCACTTAGCCATAATCGATGACATGGCCGAAGATGGCCATCGTGCCCTGGCGGTGTCGAAAGTTCCTCATAATATCAATCATTGGTTTGCCTGTCCAGACTCGATGGTTTACTGGACTCCATTGTCCATAACATACAATATGTGCGGCATGATCAACAAACAAACTGAACCATCACCAGCCTCTACTGACCGGTCCACACCCACCTGCACCTGTCAACCAGGTGCCATTCAGTTGGACCAAACACAGGAATCAGCACAACATGCAGCAGAGGATTCCCAGAATCAAACTCCTTCCAGACTCATTGATTATTCATGGCAACTCATTTTGTTAGTCGGACCTCTACAAGGCCGATAATGAACATGTATGGTAGCATCATCCTAAACGAAAACATCGAGATATTGGATATCGAGTTAATGCGATTTGTTTTCGGAAAGAAACGGTTTCACTGAGTCAGTGTCTGTGAGTGTATGAGTAGTTACTATCATTACTTACACATTACATACACATCACACTTACACATAACATTACATTATACTTACACATTACATATACATCACACTTACACATTACATATACTTCACACTTACACATTACATATACACACTTACACATTTACATACACTTCACACATATACATTACACATTACACATCACACTTACACACATACACATTACACACACATCACACACTTACACATTACATATACACACACTTACACATTACATTACATACATTCACACTTACTACACATTACATACACTTCACACTTACACATTACATTACTTCACACTTACACATACATACATCACACTTACACATTACACACACTTACACATTACATATACTTCACACTTACACATTACATATACTTCACACTTACACACATTACATACTTCACACTTACACATTACATATACATTACACACACTTACACATTACATATACACATTACATATACTTCACACTTACATATACTTCACATTACATATACTCACACTTACACATTACATATACTTCACACTTACACATTACATGTACATCACACTTACACATTACATATACTTCACACTTACACATTACATGTACTCACACTTACACATTACATATACATCACACTTACACATTACATATACATCACACTTACATATTACATGTACTTCACACTTACACATTACATATACATCACACATACATACACATCACACTTACATATTACATATACACATTACATATACATCACATCACATATTACATATACATCACACTTACATACATCACATCACACTTACACATTACATATACATCACACTTACACATTACATATACATCACACTTTTACATACACATTACATATACATCACACTTACACATTACATATACATCACACTTACATATTACATATACATCACACTTACATATTACATATACATCACACTTACACATTACATATACTTCACACTTACACATTACATATACATCACACTTGCACATTCAGTTTTCCATGTCATAATCTGACTTGCTTGTTTCCTCGTTAAATTTTAGCAAGCTGCATTTTCCATTATGTTCTGTTTAGCCTAAACGATAAAAAGAACATTTAGTTAGCCATTTCATTAGCAAAATTTTAATCAATCTTTTTTATTATAAGATTATGTTTTGTCCTTAGCCGTGAACGATGCATGAATACCATATTTTCACCATTTTCACAGAGTTCAGCAACGATTGCCAGCGACCTAATTCGCTTTTCTAATTGAAGCCGCTAAATCTGCACCTCTTATCGAATCATTCACACGCCATGACGTTAAACCACTTGTTTTAAACACGTAAAGCTGCGCTTCCTTTCAAAAACATGTTCAAATGGCCACACTACTTTGAGGATCAGTAAGAGGATTAACTTTCAAATCACGCGAGAATTCACAAGGTCTCGCGATAGAGTGAAGATCACCTTTTGTCGCGGGTGTCTTTATCGACAAAGGTATTTACGGGTGGACATTATTCTCTCTGAGAAGAGGGGATTAAGTTGAGTATTTCTTTTTATCTTTTATCTGTATGAAACAGATATTTGATTATCCCAGCTGACAGATAACTTGTCAATACATACTCGAAACCGTGCTCAGATTAATGCGTAACTGTGGAGGGCAGATTTGCTAAACAAAGAAAATATCTTGATGCATCTGATACTCTAAGAACATTATAGAAAAGAACATGTGTTATTTATATATTCCCTGGAGATAGGGATTCCATTCTAGACTCGGTACATTTATTCACATTAGCAACCAAGCTATAATATCTGAATCAATTTCCTGGATTAAAAGTGGGTCATTGTTCGGCTTCGAAGGACACGTGTGTCGCGTGAATTCTGCAAATGGACACCTTAATTCCACAGACCTACAGACGAAACAGTTTCCGTGAGTGCCACTGTACAAAAGTACAAATCTGTACTGGTATTGTACAAATTGTATTGTATTGTATAAACAATGTCATTACGACTGTTGTAGCGCTAAGGTGATCGTAACTCCCATACTTTAACATTGACTTACGACTGTCGTAGCGCTAAGGTGATCGTAACTCCCATACTTTAACATAGACTTACGACTGTCGTAGCGCTACGATCGCTTTGAGGAACAGGGCCCTGATCCTGACACACTCGTAGATTTTGTTCCCTTACGAAGCGTTTCAACCTCTGTCGACGTCCCGCGTTAGGGAACGTTTTCGCCTTATTTATAAGGCGTTCAATTAGTAATCTAAAATGTCATTTCGACATGTAAATTAAAAAATATATGCCGGTCCGGATATTAACTCACTACGGACTCAAACAGTCCGTGTAATACCACCGTGCTCAATGTAGGCGATAGGCGCTTGGTCTCTGAATATATGTTAAATTGAAAAGGAGCCAGGGAGACCACAGATTTAGAACCTGATGAAATCTAGACTTGCTTCATTTAGGGCTTTAGCACTGCAGAGAGAGGTAGCACAAGGGAAAGTAATATGGTTCAGGGACTGTGAGAGAGACTGGCGACATCAGTGAGTTTGGCTGAGCTGCTCTTGAGACACTGTTGTACTGTAACAGCCTGTCAGCTTGAAATGGGAGGAGGGCCAGTGAATGTTCAGATGTTTGCCACTTTAGTGAAACACTAGAGAATGGGTACTGTGCTGACATAACTAGAAACGTAATCTGTGAGGATCTGGGTTCGAACCCACATATATCGGCGTTCTTCCATACAATATGATTGAGAATTAGAATGGCCCATAATCATCATACATCTGCTTGAAAGACATGACATCTCAGCCTTGTAATGTTGAACGAGCCGTCAGATATGATAAGCGGGCGGAAGGACGACACATAATCCCTATAGCCTATCTTCCCGGTGGTGTGCAATGCATCATATGGCGAGACAGACAACAGTAAATATTTTAAATTTCAATAAAGAAAAAATAACAAATAGGTGTCGTTATCGCGGCGGGACCTGCCACTCCCAGTGTAATGCAGGGGCGTCGGACAGGAGCGTGGACTAACGCACGTACAATCGCCGCTCTATCGGGAGATTTGTCCTGGTGATTATTTTGTAGTAGTAAATAGACACGTGCACAAAACTAACATTAGCTGTGGTGTTAAAAAACACAGGTATGTTTTGGGTACGTGCTGACATTGCATGCTCTTGGTGTTCTGTCCCAGGTCCGACGATTCTAATCCAAGGACTTCAGACTGGTCCATCATGTGTCAAGGTCGTACAGTGTGTTTATGGTCTGACAGAATATGCATTATGTAGTATCGTGTTATTTGAGGTAGACCCGTTTCATCCGGCTTCAATGTCTTCCATGACGTTTCATGCTGTTTCGCAGACTTTCATGGCGTTACATAATGTTTCATGGTGTTTTATGGCGCACTCAGCAAACATCCAGCTATATGGCGGTGGTCTGTAAATGATCGAGTATAGATTAGACAATCCAGTGATCACTACCAATCCGATCCCGTTAGTCGCTTCTTACGACAAGCATGAGTTACTGAAGATCAATTCTAACACGGATTTTCACGTGTTGTTTTATGATGAAATGCATTGTGATAGTGGTTGTGGCAGTACACGCAGGCCTGGTGTATATGGAACATCAGTGTAAGAGAAAACAAAGCTATCCTCAAACAATATTCCATCTGGTTGAAATGAAAAGTAGGTGAATGGACCACTGATGATGTGGTGACCACGTGAGTTTTCGCGAAAAGGTAGCACCGCCATTCTTAGGCTCTGCAGATCGCTAGACATAATGACCAAGAAGGCTCTGCAGATCATTAGACGTAATGACCAAGAAGGCTCTGCTGATCGTTATTCAAATCTATATTCGCCTTTACTGTGGGCCTAGGAAATTCAGTATGATATACACGAGTTTCATCTACGTTCATCCTAGATAATCTCCTGGGCATACGTTCCGATAAATCTCCACTAGTACCCTGGATGCATGTACGGCATCCGATAATTGTATTACCTCCCTTTGCTGTCTTTTTATCCAATCAGGTGTCTACACTAGGAAGTTGACAGTACCAATCACAAAGCTTCTATTATAACTCACTTCCGTTTCTTCGGTAAGCAGCAATGGCGTAGACTTCGACAGGGTCTGTTCTTGCTTCAACATAGAAAAGTTGACCCTCAGGAAAAATCACTGAAACATTTGCACAGCGAGCAAACCTTCGCCGCCATCTTTGTTGACACTGATCTGTTTGATTGGCAGTTTTGAGGTTGGTGAGAAATATGAATCTAAGATACTTTATGGATAACAACTCCCTTAGTATATATGATGCGACGTTTCGGTATTGATACAGTATTACTTATACCGTTGTCAAGCAAGAGTGAAGTACTGTAGCACAGAACGGACTTATACACATCAACAGGGATTAAGTAATAACTACATGTAGGTATGAATGCTCGGTTGTAACGGCTTATCTGATTGGCTACTGGTGTCGGCAAAGGGAAGTAATACAATTATCGAGCCGAATCGAGATGGATCCAGGGTAATAGTGGAGACATATCGGAACGTATACCCTGGAGATTATCGAGGATGATCTTCGTGTAGCATCATTGGGTCATCCTTCCACAGTACTTACTCACTCACTCACTCGCTCACAGCCTCAGCTGCCGCCGTTATTTAGCTCAAAGTATCAAGCCTGGATAGAACGTCATCGGTAATATGCTACCATCCAGCACCACACCGAGAGATGGTATTATGTAGTAGTGGTTTCAAAAGGAACCAACACCATTGATCACCAGACACAGTGGTGGTATTACGTGGTGTCGGGTTCACATAAAACAGTACAAGCGAGAACCACGATGAGGGTCAATGTCTTAGGGCTGCTGTTCTGGCCCCAACACTCACCGTGAGAGCAAGCGTTGATGGGTGTATGGGGAAAAAACAACAACAACAGCAGCAAACAAACAAACAACAACAAAACTAACACACAAAAACCAAGATACACGTGATGGGAACGTCAGATTTAACAATAAAGTAGGCAACGCTGCAACATGCACAACAGTTTAAACATCATCACAATGCAGCTATGCAAAGGCTGACAAAAGGCTCTGATCAAATTGTACAAAATATGCAATTCATCTTTTTTAAATTGTTATGTAATTCAGTTTGAAAGGCTAAGCTGTGCGGAAAACCAATACAGCAGGTGAAGCGTTCGCTTCATATGATAAAGATCCGAGTTCGAATCTGCACTCGAAGTGAACCAATGATTAATCACTCAGTCATTTTGATGAATTAGGAGCTGAATTTATACAATCTGCTTGCAACCGGTAAAACTCAGTTTCCACAAATTCTCCCATACTTGAAGTCTTCTCTCACATCTGGGACATTTAGAGTGTATAGATTTTAATTTGGGGAAAATGAATTGTCTTTACATTCTAAGTGTGTTGTAGGCCGAACAACACAAATATGTCACCCTCACAAGATTATGTTGTTTAAGAGAGACCCCCATAACAATCAATTACACAAATATTGCAGTTCAAATCCACTCGCGACAGCCTGGATAGAGAGTAAAGATTCGTTGTTTGGAAGATGCTAAGTGCAAATACACGACTCCCCCGCGTTGAATGTTTCCACACTCCTCTGTCAAATTTGGGGAGAAAAATGTCAAAACCTGGCGTCAGAGAAACAGTGTTTTATCGACGCACTAACAAGATGTTGTTTCACCGCTCACAACTTCCGTCATGTTGTCAATCATGGGGGTGTGGGGAAGGGGGAGCACTGTCTTGGGGGTGGCCCTCTAATGTCAGCGTTGAAGATGATACGGACCATTCGTGGGTGGCGCGAACAAAGTTATTTGTAAGGCCTTCCAGAAAACACGCTCTGTTTAGTAGCAATAGATGTGGGAACCTTTTTGCATTGGTTGTTGCGTACAGATAAATAATACGCACATCTGAAGAAACATTTTGTTTTATTTTAGTTGGAAAAAAGACGTATTTTCACTTCGAATTGTAAATAGTGACACGTCTTAGAAAAGTAGTACAGAATTATTGTATTGGTCCAGCAGTGGTCTCACTGACTGACTGAGTTTAGTTTTACGCCGCTTTTAGCAATATTTCAGCAACATCACGGCGGGGGACACCTGAAATGGGCTTCACACATTGTACCCATGTGGGGATTCGAACCCGGGTCTTCGGCGTGACGAGCCAACGCTTTAACCACTAAGCTACCCCACCGCCCCTCCAACAGTGGTACTTACGATGAGTGGGCGAATATTATTTTACACCGCAGTTATTTCTGTAGCGGCGACATGTAAATCTTCTAACATTGGTCACCCAGAAGGTATCGTCCTCCAGAATCCCAACACATGTAGTTATGTATCAGGGGCGGTGGGGTAGACTAGTGGTTAAAGCGTTCGCTCGTCACGCCGAAGGCCCGGGTTCGATTCTCCACATGGGTACAATTTGTGAAGCCCATTTCTGGTGTCACCCGTCATGATATTGCTGGAATATTGCTAAAAATAGGCGGACTGGCATTTCTTTCAAATCAGTGTTCTGTTTTATGTAATCCCACATACAGAGGCTTTGCTAATGTTTTGTTAAACGTTACTTATATCCCACGGTAGACTATGGATGAAATACAGATCAACCCTGAACGGGGCGGTCACGTCTCCATCATGGGTTCGATTCCCCCATTGCTATACTGTGGGGAGCTACTTGTTGCTACCCTGGTGGGCTCCACAGTAGATATGGTCCTCCAATATTACATACATGTAGGGAATCGAACACGGGCCTCCTGTGAGATAAGCGACTGATGTAACCGCTATACTAAAATCGGTTTAAAACCATACTCACTCATCCAATCGGACACTCAATACGTCTGTAGAACAACAATCGGAACCAATATTGGATTCGAACAAACATCCAAAGGTCCCAGGCCTAACGGACGCAAACCCACAGGAACATAGTCCTAGGACCTATAGGGCCATCCGACCAGTATGTCTGTTGATCTGTTGATCCATGGGTCTCACCCACAAGTGTCTCACCGACACCATAGCCACATCTGTAGACGCACGCTATAGCCATGCCGTGGACTATAGACCCGACAGCCAGTGTGCTAGTCTGTCATACAGACCCTGAAGCAAATATACCCAAGAAAGCCCACTCAAGTCTAGAAAATGTGGTCTAGATTTCCTTCAGCTTCTGAAAATGAAGAAAGTCTCAGGGCTCCTTTTTATTATATATTTTTTTCACTATGAGCTTTTTTTCTGTAAAATATGTTCATTTCAGAGACTAGTTGTTAGTAAGTCGGGCTAGCTTTGCCTGAAATTTACTAGCCCACAAAATAATTCACGAGTCCGAAATTTGAATGTAGACACGGGTTTCGTTGTTAAGCTGCTAATATGATGAACATTAATATCAGGCCATAATCTTGCATGATTAAAAGTGTTATAACTTAACAAGTCGGAGAGAGTGATATATTTACAAAATGACCCCATGAAAATTCAGTCGCCAGTCGGACCAGTGACTGTGGAGATTTACTGGCCCGACTGGATTTTTACTAGCCACGGGCTACAGCTACTCGGAATGATGATATAACCTCACAGTCTAGAAACCTACATTCAGTAACGTCATCTCGATGTCATCTCGATGTCATCTGTTTCTGCCCAAATCTGTTTCTGATCTCATACACCTAATGTATAGATCTAGTCTCTCGTACAGACCCTGAAGCAAATATATCCAAGAAAGCCCATGCAAGTCTAGAAAATGTGGCAAGTCTAGATTTCCTCAGCTTCTGGCTGCAAAAATGAAGAAAGTCTCAGAGCTCCTTTTCATTATATATATATTTTTTTACTATGAACGTTTTTTTCAGTAAAATATGTTCATTTCAGAGACTAGTTGTTAGTCTAGTATAGATCTTAAGATCATCGGTATTATTCAATGCAAGCGTAAGATACCAGTATAGGATCAACTGGGTATTCCCTTGCTCATAATTACTGTCGGATCCAGGGGTCGCCTATACATCAGTCTTATATTTATTTCCATTCCATTCCATTCCATACCATGTTGGTATTGGTCACAAGCGACCTATCTGGAAAGAAAAGAGGCGGACCTGATGGGTCGGGTGGCCAACCTCGCTGAACGCTTTTATATCGCACGCACGCGCGCACACACACAAAACACAGATGCACATGATCACACACACGCGCGCACGCACGACAGAACGCCCAAACATGGTTCAGTATACCGGAGCTATTCTGGTCACAGATCACCTATACACATCTGTGACTGCAAACCCATTTGTCCACTGACCAGTGTGAAATCACACATGCCTCTAATCCTCATTGAGTCAGAACAAACCAACTCAACTCCTGACAAGACCTTTTATGACTTCCGTACTATATATACCTTCCTAAATCCCATTTACACGCTTATATTAAACCGGAAACATATATATCCGCCAGCCTGGCCACCGCTCTATGGGGGGCCATATCTCTCCAGCCACTTGGCATTTTCATATTTACGTGAGGATGCGCGGAATGCGGAGTGCGGCGATGTGGAGAGTACACAGAACGCCTGTCTGATCACTATGTGGATACAGAGCTGTGAACTCCACGCACCTCCGGAAGCCAAGCTACGAGAACACCATGTGCTCGAGTCTTGTTGCATGTCGACCGCTGTTACGAAGGGCTGGGATACTCACATATTGTATTGGATAGCCTCTCCGGTTTATTAGGTTCCCGTGTTCACATGACAAACTCCCACAAACCACTCCATGAAGGCTGTATGTATAACAAGAAATGTTGGGACTGGCCATAGACTTAGTCATTCGGTTAGACTAACAACTAGTCTCTGAAATGAACATATTTTACTGAAAAAAGTTCATAGTAAAATAAAATAAATATAATGAAAAGGAGCCCTGAGACTTTCCTGAAGCTGAGGAAATCTAGACTTGCCACATTTTCTAGACTTGCGTTGGCTTTCTTGGATATATTTGCTTCAGGGTCTGTACGACATACTATCATTCGGTATACGGCAAGGCGTAAAGCCATATCATATTCTATTAACCTAACCCTAAACCTGAGTACACAAAATAATATAGTTTTTTATCCCTTTAATCAGGACGATACATAATTAATATTAACACTCCAAACGAACGAATGATATCGTACAGGCGCCATGTCTATTGTGTAAAGGAGTAACAGAAAAGTCCTGAAACCTGGACTTTCCGTACCATACGGCATTCACTGCTAATATAACAGAGAGGTCTCATTGGTCTGAGAAGAGCAACAGCTTCGCTATCCCCGGCCCGTGCAGTTTAAGACTTCCCTGTGTTGTTGATCACTGACACTGTTTGTGATTCCGGTCTTACAGATGACAACAGCTCCGCTAACCACCTTAACAAATTCCTTTGTGTTGGATCCTCTACCCCAAATTGTATAGTATATGTTGAATTCGTTAGATATCCATTATATATTTATTCTCAAATTAGATGTTTAAAATACTGGTTAACAATTCTTCATATGCGTCAACAATGTCTTCCCAAAATAGCATATAACATTTTACATTTAGATAACATGGAAAAATGTATGGTCATTGTATATACGAAATCTATTTTCCTATTGGTTTTGTATGGTTATGTCAGTCAGTTGGAAGTGTAGACATGTTTCTGAAAGAATTTAGAAATCGGATTGTAAATATGTTCTACCAGGAATGGCATTCCACTTAAGAAGATAGTTCACGATATGTTTATTACAAAACTTCCTTACTGCAACCAGACATTTATTTATCAGTACTCACGACAGACATTTTAAGGTAACATTGAATTAAATATCGGCGTGTTTATTAGACCTATTTGTAAATGAAGGGAGAAAACTTTCAATTAAAACATTTTTTATACTGATGCCACCGATGGAAGTCTTCGTGTATATTTTAACGACAAAGAATTACGTCGTTCACTATACGTTAAACATGCAATAGCCAAAAGGAACTAACTGTTAAAAGAACGTATATTCCTGTGAGGAAGAGTATGATATTTATATGTATGTATAACACTCTCTCGTATATGGGCCGGAGGCCTTTTGTACAATAAACCTCCTTGCCTTGCCTTCACCGTATGTTTAAACTTTTACACAACAGCGAAATTTGGGGAACTGACTCCTTTCTTTATTACAGTCACTGATTTGTATGCGCCCGAAAACTTCAACTATGTTACGTGAAGGCAAAACTATTCATACCTTGGCAAGGAGAGCTGAATTAGGGATATATCCTCTGTTATACACAGTAGTCAAATGTGATAAATGTTTACCAACATGTCACCTCATCAAACAATATGATACTCAAAAATGCATTCACTTAAAGTAAAGCAATGGTGAAGAAAGGAAGAGGCTGGATGCATAACTCGACACTTGCCCTTATCAGCATTTGCCTCATTAATATCAGAGTCAATAATCAATTCAGACTATTTGTAAACTCACGTCAGGATCCAGCACCAGCTTCTAAAGGCAATGCAGATTAGTGAAACATGAAACAGACCCGTATCTCAGACATTGTCAACACTTTAACCTCTTCATTTTGCTGAACTACGTCCAAGTGACCCCAAACTAAACATAGAATTAGTAAGACGCCCAAGACCCCCAGCCGTGTGTACAAATTTAAACAATAATGCACCAAATTATCTAATATATGTATGTTATCCTTTGGACTTCACATATGCACTATGAAGGGAAACTAATGTGATTCAGGGACTGTGAGACAGACTAACCTAATTGGGCGACTTTGGTACACGATTGGAGATGTTTGCAAGACAAACCCTGCTAAACAATGCTTCCTTATAGAAAGGGAAACATTACAGAGTAATATCGGTCAGAATATATTTTCTAAACTATTTCTCAGATTCTCACACTTGTGTATAAGAATGAAATCCCTGCTCTACGTCAACAAAAGGTGTGAAGAAGACGTCACTCCTTCTCCTCCTGTTGGGTGTAGGTTCCCCCGGGCAATACACGTCTGGAATCAGGCTGAGGCACACAGCATGTGTCTAAATACCAGACAAATAAATAACAATTCTCCACATGAATAATTCATAAGACGTTACACCTTAAAATGAATCGTTAATATATTTTATTACACCAGGAAGACTACATGAGCATGCAACATTTCCCGTTGTAGACTTACATTGTAATGATCTATTTCGCGAAAAGAAGCAAGGAACTTATGCAAGAATGAAGTGCAACTATTCGATACAGTAGTCAAGGGTTGTTCCCAGGTATCACAAAGCCAGGAGCGCGTCCGGAAGACAGGTGGTATGTTTTTCTGTCCGATTCCCCTTCCCCTCCCTTTGTAACGCTCCTCTCCCCATTTCTCCATCCTCCCACCTGTTGCCTACCTGTTGCACCGTGTCCATCAATCAAACAGCCTGTCAATAGGGCGTGTTTGGTTCTGACGAACTCAGTGCTGTTGAGGGTCGTAGGTATTTCCGAATATACAGATTGGTATCAATGATGCAGTAGATTGATATTCAACCATCTCATGTGCAAGGTATGGGTTTCTTGATTTCCTGTCTCCTGTTAAAGTTACTTTAAATGAAGTTATTTGAGTGAAACAATTCTATAACCAGATGCAGTAAAAGTAATAGATTCATTTAAACCACATGTGATAGAAATTTGTACCAAAAATGCATCTGATTTCAAGTAAAATAAACTGTTTCAGTAATCACATTTTTTAGAATAATTAACATATACAAATGAAAGTTCGGAACGACATCTTATCAAATTGTTAACAGGGATTAACTAGTTTTTCATACTCTTTTCCCCACATTATTACAGTGTGTGGAGCTTATTACAATGCGTGGAGCTTATATTATTCTCCAAAATAATAGGTAGGGGTTTTCAGCCACGCTTTATGTATTTAAGAAATTGCACCCAAATCAAATTTTATTGTGCAAACCCATACAGAAACAGTCCAAGTTAAACACGGTTCCTCACCTTCAGGAGCCAAAGCTTTATACACTCGACTACCTTACGACGCAACTCACCACCACGTTTACCATTTGCAACCTCACTCACTCAAAGAGTGATTCACAGTGTTTCAATAAGTTGCTGTGGCCTCCTTGTGATTTTTTTAACAGAATCATAATAACGTCTTTGAGAGGCACATGCTTGATAACGGTGTTAGTATCTACACCGAAACGTGGCATTCATTGCAATAAAGAAGTTGACTATCCATATAACTTGGTTTTCCTCCATAATCAGAACAGCTCTCCTTGATGTGGCAGTGTCTGAAAAAAAAGTAAACTAATTATGGATTTGTTCATAAACATATATAGTATATACATTTTTTAAATTTTCGTGTTAACCAATAACGATGGTAAATATGTTGGTAAATCGGTATGTGAGTCAGTTTCTG